GAAATTCAGGGACTTGTCTTACAACAATCTCAGTGGACCTGTTCCTAAATTCCCAGCCAAGACTTTCAAGTAACCAAACCTTGTTTCATGTTTTGTAAAATTTCACTGATTCTTGTGTATAATGAGGTACTAAGTCTTGTTTCTGCTTTGTTTGTTGAATGTAGTGTTGCTGGGAATCCTTTGATTTGTAGAAGTAGCCCACCTGAGATTTGTTCTGGATCTATCAATGCAAGTCCTCTTTCTGTTTCTTTGAGCTCCTCATCGGGTAAAAGTATCGTTCTTGCCTCGGTTTTTCTTGAATTTATCCATTGTAATGATTATTGCACTAATCATTCTGGTTACTTGAGTTTTTGTAGGACGCAGGTCTAATAGACTGGCCATAGCGCTCGGTGTAAGCCTTGCCTTTGTTGTTTTACTTGTCACTGCTCTCGGGTCCTTTTGTTGGTACCGAAAGAAACAAAGAAGGCTATTGATCCTTAACTTAAACGGTTCGTCAATTTGAGCTTTGTGTTTCATTCATTTTTGATTTTGGAATATGTTAACAGATGTTAACAGTTTCAAGTTTTGGTTTTAGCAGACAAACCAGAGGAAGGGCTTCAAGGACTTGGGAATCTAAGAAGCTTCACATTCCGAGAACTTCATGTATCTACGGATGGTTTCAGTTCCAAGAACATTCTAGGCACTGGAGGATTCGGTAATGTGTACAGAGGAAAGCTAGGAGACGGAACTATGGTTGCAGTGAAACGGTTAAAGGATATTAATGGAACTTCAGGGAATTCACAGTTTCGAACCGAGCTACAGATGATTAGTTTAGCTGTTCATAGAAATCTGCTTCGGTTAATCGGTTATTGCGCAACTTCTGGTGAAAGGCTTCTTGTTTACCCCTACATGCCCAATGGCAGCGTCGCCTATAAGCTTAAATGTTAGTATAAGTCTTGAATCGTCGGTCCAAATCTCAATTTTTGTTGACTACTTGTAACCAATTTTGTTCACTGTTGTAGCTAAACCCGCATTGGATTGGAACATGAGGAAGAGGATAGCGATTGGAGCAGCGAGAGGTTTGTTGTATCTACATGAACAATGTGATCCCAAGATCATTCATAGAGATGTCAAAGCGGCTAATATTCTCTTAGACGAGTGCTTTGAAGCTGTTGTTGGTGACTTTGGGCTCGCGAAGCTGCTTAACCACGAGGATTCTCATGTCACAACCGCGGTTCGTGGCACGGTTGGCCACATTGCACCTGAATATCTCTCCACCGGTCAGTCCTCTGAGAAAACTGATGTGTTTGGGTTCGGTATACTCTTGCTAGAGCTCATAACCGGAATGAGAGCTCTTGAGTTTGGTAAAACCGCTGGCCAGAAAGGGGCTATGCTTGAATGGGTAAGCAAAGAGACTCAAAATCATACTATAAACTATAAGATCATAAGATCAGCTGAATTTAATGTTTTCTCGGATTCTGTAACTTTGGTTTAGGTGAAAAAATTGCACGAAGAGATGAAAGTAGAGGAATTGGTGGACCGAGAGCTCGGAACTACATACGATAAAATAGAGGTCGGAGAGATGTTGCAAGTGGCTTTGCTATGCACACAATATCTTCCGGCACATCGTCCTAAAATGTCAGAAGTGGTTTTGATGCTAGAAGGCGATGGTTTAGCCGAGAGATGGGCTGCTTCACATAACCATTCACATTTCTACCATGCTAACATCTCTTTCAAGACAATCTCATCTTTGTCTACTACTTCTGTCTCGAGGCTTGACGCACATTGCAATGATCCAACTTATCAAAAGTTTGGGTCTTCGGCTTTCGATGATGAAGATGATCAACAGCCTTTAGATTCATTCGCCATGGAACTATCCGGTCCAAGATAGCACCGAGAAAGAAAAAAAGATTTATCATTTTTCGATAAAAAACGATGAAAAAAGCTCTACACTTTTTATAAGATAGACATGTATATGGGTATTGAATCGATGGCTAATTGCTCTACAGTTTGAGATTTCTGTGTTCGTTATGTTCTTGTATATATTTACCTTTTTTGCAAGGGAAATTTCTTGCGAGTTTCTTTTGATTTTTTGGTTGGGAAAAGAAGAGCTACTACTTTGCTTAAACATTATGATGGTAAAGGAAGAAACTATGAGACTGATTCTTTTGACCAGAATCTGATTTGTACACTATCTCTCTCACTCAAAATGGCATCAATACTTATGAGAATTTCTGAATTTGGCTTTTGTTGTTATCATAAGCTGCTTGTGGTCCTCTAAGCTAATGTGTAAAAGACTTTTGTCCAACTTTGACTCTCATGTGTCATTTTCAATTTTCTTTTTATCACAGATCAAATGATTTACTAAGTTTTAAACCAATCAATAGGGATAATTTGCCGAAAATACAACAAAAAAATTATAACTTAAAAAGTAATTAAAAACTCCAAATCCAATGGTCATGATTTTGCCCACATACCCCAC